CACCATCCTGCTGAGGTGGTGTTCTCTCAGCAGGCTCCAAGCTGTTACTCCTGGCTCATCTCAGGGCTTGGGTTTATACCTACTCTAAGCCCAGCCCTCCTCCTGAGTCAAGTGACTCCCTCTACCCTGGTCTAGCCTCACCTGCGGACTCCCTGGGTCAGCTGACTCTCAATTAGCCATGGCTCACACCCCAACTACAATATCCAATTAAAAGATGCCAACACAGGCACTTCATAAAATGCTACTTTGTTCTAAAGTATTGACGGAATAATTATTCTGAGTGAGAAGTTACAGAAACAAGATGGATCACATTATTCATATATAGTAACATTGCAAAGAAAAATCCCTCCATCACCAAATTCCCTCTCAACAATCCAGCTCCCAAGTCTTACCCAGGGACTGAGTACAGACAGTCAAAAATCCCAAGGCTGAATCAATGCAATCTTCACCAGGTTAATCTAAAATGTGTTGATTGAACTGATAAACAAGTGAACAAACATTCACTTTTGATTCTGGAAATGCAGCCACATGCTTGCAGTGGCCCAGGCCAGAAGCACTAGAGCACCCCTCCCTGCTCAGCTGGAGAAGACAGCTTGAGCCAAGGCTAGCCCACCCACCCTGTGACCAGTGGATGCAGGGGAGGCACAAAGCATCCTGGGATTCTGGGGGACTATGGGTTAACTTGAATTTGGAGGGGATCTGGGACAGAAGTTCAATACCTAAATCGGTTAAGTCTGATATTACATCCATCCAGGTTTATCTTAAACCAGCTTTGGTCATTTTGAAAGCAGTTTATGTGCACTGAACTTTGGTTGTGTTACAGATTTGAATCAGTTTCCAATCACTTATACTAGTTTATGTGTAATTTCTGTCCATAGCCAGGATTGCTTTCATTCAGATCAAGGCAACTAGCTTGCAACTTATGTGGCTGATTGTCCAGTAGGAAAGGAAGTTAATCCCCTGATCCGTGGGCCATTCAACAGCCTCCATATGTTAATGATTTTTTGTAACTACTGACTGATTTTTTGTAACTACTGCCTATAATGAAAACCTCCTTCTCACCATTCTTTCCCATCCTGCCTAAAGATTTTATTTCTAACAAATCATGAGTTTATAAACTGATTTAGAATTGTTATGGTTTAAAATGGTAGTGACAGAGGAATATTTAAGTTATGATGGTCCAGGAAACATGGGAGAAGCAAGGAATTTTGTGGGTGATGTCTTATATTGGACCAGCTGTAGGATTGGGAGAGTTTTAGACAGGTTTTTGGGCACAATGTACCTTTGCTCAGGTTTAAAATTTAATTCTAAAATGTAGGGGTGCATCGATAGAGATTTTGGCGGCCCATACTGATAGCTGATATTTAAGGAGGCATATTGGCTGATACCAATCCGATATCTGATACAGCTGCCATTAAGTGCGAAGTCCAGTGTGGTGGAAGGGGAGTGGGGAGGGAAGGGATGTGGGGGGAGAGATCAATGCCCTCCACCACAAGTGAGGGGGCAGGGGCAGGCGGTGCCCAGGTGGCGCGAGGGGGCCACAGGCCGGAGGCACGGTTTGTTGGGGGGGGCGGTGCCTGCTGCTGCTTGCACCCTGGGAGGTTGGGGGTGGGAGAGCATGTGCCCCCAAATCTGCATGGCGCAGAGCGGGCTGCAGCTGTGGGGTGGAGCCGGACCCAGAGCTATGCGGGGCTTTTCTTGCCAGGGGCTGAGCTCAGAACAGCATCTGGCAGTGCTGGAAGAAGACTGCAGCCACCCCAAATTTTGCTGCAGCTCTGCTCCCAGCCCTGCCCACCACCTGGCACAGCCCCGGCTGCATACCCCGCCTCCACCCAAGCACCAGGAAAAGCTGGGGCTGCACCAGGCAGGGGTAACAGTGTAGGGCTGGGAGTGGAGCTGCAGCAAAATTTGGGGTGGCTGCAGTCTCCTCCCAGCACTGCTGGAGCCCACTCCAAGCCCAGTCCTTGGCTAGAAAAGCCCCATGCAGTGCTGCCTCTGGCTCTACCCCACAGCTGCAGCCCGCCCTACCCCACGCTGTGCAGATCCAGGGGCACATGCCTCCACTACCATCCTGAGTTGCAAGCAGTGGCGGGAGCTACCCCCACCCCACAAGCCGTGGCTCTATCCCACACCCCCCAACCCCAGTTCACAGCGCCTGCCGCCACCCCCTCCCTCACCACAGGAGGAGTTAATCTTCCCCCCACATGCCCCTTCCTCCCGCACTTCTGATTTACTGGCTGGAGGCAGCTCTCCATCCTGCCAGCTCTGCTCTGTGCTGTGTTGCAGCTGCGGCCATTTATTGGTCAAATTATTGGCCCCATCTGGCCAATATCTGATATAGACAGTTTTCCTTATATCAGTACTGGTCTGATATCGGACCCATGTATTGGTGCACCTCTACTAAAATGTAAATCTATCAATAAACCAGGTCATCTCTCTACTTTGATCTTCTAGACTAGCACTCATGCAGCTTATTCTGCAGCTATCTGAGAAGGTGAGCTCCTGTCTGGAGATCTCCTCCAGGCAGACCTATCATGAAATACCACTTTGTGTTGCTCCATAGCAAACCTGGCCATATTCAAAGAGTAACCAAAAGGAATAGTAAAACCCCTTCCCTGTCCTAGACCTGCTGGAGACCAGCTCATCCACTGGCTGCCTCAACAGCTCCTGTGGGATTTGTGACAGCCAGAGAATAGTGGTGGAAAACCCTGGTCACATCAGATAAAAGACTGTGGAGATAAACATATCCAAACCCCATAACCAGGGAGGAGCCCAGTGAGGCCTCTGGGGACCTTTATGGTATGAAGAACATCTTAGCAGGATAAAAACAAAGATTTAGAGAGATATTTTAGCAGGATAAAAACAAAGATTTAGAGAGATATTTTAAGTAGTCTAGCAGCAGCTGAGAATATGACTTGAGCCTGTCTCCTGCTGTGTGAAAATTACTATAAAAAATCATCGGTAATGTGCAAACCTAAACGTTTCATTCAGAGCAGCTTTCAGAAGTATGAATATTTATCTAACGTAGAGCTTGGCTGGAAATGAGTGTTACATTGGAATGCCTATTTTCTCTGATCTGGGAACGTCATACGAGTTTTTTCGTGACAACTTCAGTATTTTCAAGTCTAGTAAATGTAAAGGAAAAGTTGTGTTTTAGAACCATTCTTATTTTATCTGAACCAATTAATTGCCCATGGATAAACTCTGTAATGAAAGGTTTCAGATGAACATTACTCCTTATTTATAATAAAATCTGATTTGCAACTTTTAAGAAATTGCATGTGGGAGCCTTTAGAAAGGTAGCAAGTTTCTGTTGCTCTTTCACATGTAACAAAAAAAATATTACATTTTTCCTCAAAAATAGGAAAAATGTTGGGCTTGTACCTTTAAAACTTCGGGCTTGTACCTTAAAATGTTGCAGTCAGTTGGTGGTAATACCGTTTTAGACCAATTTCTTTTACACATTTCCTTGAACTGTATAGCAGATGGCTGATTCACGCATGTTTCATTAACTATTCAGCATCAGTTATTTGAAACAGTTTATACTTACTTGGTTGACAATGTTACAGGAACCAAGCAGATAATATCTACTGCAGATAATATATTCATATGAAAAATGTCTTGTAAAAGGTTCAAAGGGTCCATGCTACTCATGCTAGTTAATACTTTGTGCTGTTTAGGACAGGAAACACCTTCATTAAAATGCAGCTTGCACGAGCATATGTTTTGGATATTTTTGTTTTATTTTTGAATGTAAATAAAAGCAGCAAATGTTTCAGTTAAGTAACATTAAGCAAGTTATATTCATTTCAGGGATGAAAGTTCACCAACTGATCTTTTGGTAATCATAGGTTGGCCTGCTAAGACATCATAATTACATGCTAAGTAATTATATTTTAAAGCTTCTGCTATATCTAACCCAATCATTAAACCTTTTTTGAGAGGGGCTGAGAACTAAAATTGTCACAAATGGCAGCCAGCCCAGTGGTGCAGCAGCAAAACAAGGTTCTGTCATGCTGGAGAACCTAGTTCAAGGACAGACCCAGTGTCTTAGGTTTTAGGCCAATAAGAGATGGACTAGCCATAGCAGTAGGAATACAGTTTTCTGCAAAAAGATCATGCTGAGCAGCTGCAAGTGCACTGCCTAAATTGGTTGCTTCCAGATGTAGAGACCACCACAGATTGAACCCTGCCCTCCCAGTCACAAAGAAAGGATATTAAATGCATACCAGTGGGGAGGAAGAGCTATGGAAATGTGGAGGAAAAATGTGCAGTAAAATCTTTCCTGAACTCTAATTTCAAGTTTGGCATTCTCTGAAGGATACGTGACTAAAAAAGCAAATCTGTAATGTAATTTGAAAATGATTCACCTAACTCATATAATCATTATCAGAACCTTGAAATGACAGAAACAAGAAGTAAAATATTTTCTCGACAGAACTGTGCATAGAAATGTCTAAAAAGATCTATTTTCAAGTATTCAAAGAATTTAGTCATTGGCATCAAAATATTCACAATACTTAGGCAGTTTCAGAGCTTCTTTACACCAAACTAATGCCATTAATTTGAATGAAGCCATTTTGCATTTATACCAATTGCAATAAGATCTGAGTTTGGCCAAAAATGTTTGGTGAATCATTATTTTCCCCACACAAATCTAAAATTCCATGGCTTCCAATAAGCTGAAAATATTGTAAACTATATTATGTCATCTATATTAAAGCACAGCTCTCCTCCCTCACCCTAACTTTGAAATCAGTGAATGTTTTTTTCTTGAGAACTGATGGTATAAATTGTCCCAAAAATTATTTTGCTATGCTTTTTAGGAAATTCGTTGATCATATAAGTGAAATACTGTTTCCACTCAACCTAGAAGACTAGAGAATTGACAGGTACATTTAAATTGCTTACATCATAATAGTTTCCATATTAGGTCTGAAAGAACTGATAATAAGCAAATATGAAGCTAATTTTAGTCATTTTTCTTTGATTTATCTTAGATCTCCAAGATATAGAAACTCCAGGACAAAACCACAGAAGTACCTCTTCCCCTTTTACTGTTCTTACATCTAGCCCTGGGATCTTCATGAGGGGCAGCTCACAAATCTTCATAAAAAATGTTACAGAAAACGACAATAAAAGTGTTATTGAAAGAGTCCGTCTGAACCCAAAGTCGGCAGTGACAGAGAAACCCTGGATTCCAACAACTACCCATCATTACTCTAGTACTACAGAGGAGGTAAGACAGATAAAACAATTAATTGGAACATATCGGGCCTGCAATTCCTCCATGCATGAAACTCCCAAAAACATTATCAAAGGGCTCTATGAACTGAAAAACTGGTGAAATGGGTTCTGCCCAACACAGTGCACAGGTTAAGGGAGTTGGCCAGCCATGCAAGATGTACTATGTCATACCCAGTAAAGCAATGGCTATGCAACCTCAACAGAATGCCCCCTTCCCCTCTGTACCCAATGCTCCCTCTGAATATAGCTCTATAAGGCACAGTGAGGCTATCTGGAAGCAAAACTACACCCTGAGTTATTTGCATCTCAAAAACAATGTTAGTACATGTGGCTTTCTTCATTTAAAGATCATGGTATGTAATTTGTTATATCATTGCTATCAACACACTGGGTGCATCTACACATGAAATTAATGTGTCTGAATAAACTCCGGTGCAGTTCGTGCTAGAGTTTATTGCTCCCAGGTGCCACATTTACACATGCTCTCAGGACTACAGTACATTATGTGCATTGACATGTGCTATTAATGTAAAATACTGCACAGTAAGCCTTCCCTGGGAGCACGTCTACACATGCTCCTGTTGGGAGCAAATCTGCTCCCAGTGGGAGCAAGCCAGTACAGGGCTGCTTCTACCCTGCTCTGGCCCTCTGCAGCAGTGAGGGGGAGCTTCAGGCTCCCCTGGCATGTTAGCCTGGGGCTGGCAGGGAGTACAGGGCCGATCCCCATGTGCACAGGGTCAGGAGAATTCTGCTGGCTGCAGCAGCAGCTGTCTCCTTGTCCCATACACATTGGGAGAGGTCCTGATATGCATCAGGCTAGGAGACAGCTGCCGCTGTAGAGCTCTCCAGGCTTTCCTGAACAGCCGGGGACAGCTCCCAGCCAGCCCCTGGTTGGGAAGGGATTTTCCCCAGCAGCCCAGAGCTGGCCCAGAGCTGTCCTGCTCCTGGGACAGCTTGAAGACAGCCCCCAGCTAGGCGGGGATTGCCCCAAATGGGCAGTTCCTGGCCAACCTCCAGCTGCTCTGGGAAGTGAAGAGCTCCCCAGTTCTGGCACTGCTTGGCTTCTGGCTTCTATGGGGAGCTAGAAGCTGAGTAGTGCCAGGACAGGGGGCACAGAGCTACACTGTCCTGGTGCTGCTTGGCTCCTGGTGGAAGCTGGGAGCTGAGAAGTGCCAGGACTGGAGGAGTTCCCCATGTCCTGTGGCCCCCTGCTGTTGGGGCTGACCAGGAGCAAATTTGCTCCTGGTCAGCATCTACACATGTGCATCAGATTTGCTCCTGGTCAGCTTCTACACATAATGTATTTATACAGGTAGTAAGTAGCTAACTGCACGGTAGACTAATTTACTGGGCAGTAAATGGTGCACACCTGTAGATAGTGACACTTTACTCTGCAGTAGAGTAATCTACTGCACAGTGTTGCGTCTCATGTAGACATACCCACTGAGCTGGGGCAGCACAGCTCCAACTGGTTGGGGGCCCCAGGGCTCATCCTGCCAGCCCAGGACTGCTTCTGCCTGGCTCAACATGCCACAGAGGGGCTGGCTGGGTCATGAGGGTGTTTCAGTGTGGGGCTAGCCATCAGGCAGCCCGCTTACTGAAGCACCCTCTTGCCCTAGCTAGCTCCATCAGTGTCTACACATGCGCTGCAGTGAAGTAAATAACTCCACCATAGGTTAGTACCATCAGTCCTAAGTTATGGTAGCATTTATTAGTTTACTCCATCCTAGTAGGGCCGCAAGTGTGGACACTAATGATTTACTCCAGATTTAATTAGGTGACTTGACAGTAATTGTCTTGTGTAGATGTGCCCACTGAAGTGTAGAGTTCCTTTCAGTTCTGCAATGTTTCTATAGGATATGTCACAGAGTTTTCACTAAAAAACTGCAATAGATGAGCATAAATTTTATTCATCACTCCAGGTGTCAATGTCACTTCAGGTAAATCTAAGAAATATTCTTTGTCTCTTCCCAGTTTTGTGTCTATTCTATTTTAACTAAATAGTGTAGAGCCATGAGGCTACTCTAGAAATGAGAACATTGTTTTTAAATTACGCAATGGTCTTTCCTTTAAAGGTGAAATCCGCACTGATTAAATGAGCCTGTCCAAGCACTTCACCACCACCTCATCTCTACTGTTAAGTTGTTCTGGGAGCCTGAAAACAAAGAAGTGTCAAAGCAGTACCTGCATGTCCCTGGTTTGTCACAAGAGAGTCTCTGCACCCATCTTTTGTTAGGTGGTGTGAATGATGACACTAGAGTCAGAGAAAGTAATGTGATCCAGGACTATGCTGATACAGCTTCCACAAATCTCCTCCCCCTGCCCCCCCTAAAGCCCCCCCCAAAAAAAACAAAAAAAAGGAGCTGGGACTCTGGCTGGTATGTCAGCTCACAGACTGGAGTAATGATTGTAAGGGGTGGAGTTGCTGTCCCATAGCTTTGCAGTCTGGTGTTGAGCTAAGGTACTATTTTCACATTGCACCCATGTAAAGCTTGATTTCAGGCTTAATTCAAGTAAGCTAAATGTTACTCAATATGATTTTAATTGATATTATGTTGAGCTACCTACCTCACACATCAATAAGGTGCATGTACTCCAGCTTGAATATTTCCCTGCACTGTAAAAACAGGTGCATTTAAGATTTAGAAAAATCAAGGTACATGGTCGTCTAGTGAACTGGGAGCTAAAAATTCCAAAATTTGAGTCTTGGTTCTGTCAGTGACTCACATGTGTAGATTTCAGCACGTAACTTAGGTCAAGGTTTTCAAGCCTGGGTATCTCACTTTAAGCACCCAAACCACATTGGGCATTTTAATAATAAAGACTTGATTTTCATAATTGCTGAGCTCCTAAGGCTCCCAGCAACAACAGGTCATTGAGTTGAAGTGCTGAATTTTAGACATAGAAGTGTAACATTTTTTACCTTAAACTAGTAGGCTTTCAGTTCTCCTGGCTTTAAAATGAAACAACCCTCCTACCAAGCCCCTGCCCATCCCCACTTATTTCTACATTTGACCTAGATGATTAAAAGATTATTTTGTGTTTATACAATGCTTTGATATAATGTACTATGTTGTGCTGACTATTGTTGCTTGGAATACAATGTCTTCAATGAACTGCACCAGCACAGGCCAGTCCCTGTGGTTTACATGATAAAACCCTTGACGTTGTTTGGCTGCAAACATTCCCATTTGGGGGGGACAATGGTGGCACTTGAATCAAACAAAATGTTTAGCTTAGAGTAGCCTTGGGTCACCCAAGCTTTGGGTCACAAGTAAATCTGCAGCTTGCACTTTCAAAGCTATGACAAAAGCTATGCAAAGCCTATTTCCTTTTGATTAAAAGAGAGAGAGAGAGGTTGGTGTTTTAAAAAAAATGCCAGGAAACCTTGGGAAAGTGTCTGAAAGAGACTCTGGAGCCTGCTATTAGAGACACATCCGGGCACTCCCAAAAGTGGCTTCCAGCTCTTTTTTTCTTTTTCAATTCTTGGCTGGACAGACAGTGTCAGTAACTCCTCGCAGCTATGACTGCCGATTTGCTAAGGGTATGTCTGCTCAGGACCAGTGTGGAAGAACTTATTTGGCATTATATTATTTATTCAGTTAAAATATACTACCCTCAGTGACTTTTAGTTGTTAATGCACTGAGGTACCCTTTGAGTTTCATTGCATTCTGTAACACACAGCAGATCTGGAAACCCACAAACCCATTTAACTTCCAGTGAAACTATAGCAGGGGTTTCTAAAGACAGTTTTAAAGACATTTCAGTTGCAAGAGTGACAAAATAGAGTAATTCCTCAAATAGCTATTTTAAAGTAATAAACGGTTGATAGACAACACAAGGCATGTGTCTTAAAGTTATAAAGATAGAAAGATTCACTGAAATTGATGCAGTATGTGTTTATGCTTGGGTGGCAGCTTCATTTATGTCCCTCATCCTGCCACCCTTCACAGTGGGACTCTGGGCAGAGTTAGTCTGTTTGCTAAGCTTCATGTCACCAGACCTTTACAGGCTCCCGAGGACTCCACACATCCCTAATCTCAGTGTGGGACTGGGACCAAGGTAGATCTCCTGGTGAGTAAGGGTGTGAGACTTTAGTGTCCTCTCCAAACTTATTCCTCCCTTCACTGCCAGTTATCAGAAATTCTGGTGGCAGCAGCAGTAATGGAGCATGGAAGGCAAGAGGGACAGTGGCAGCTGGCAAAAGACATGGAATTACATGCCTTCTACCAACTGCCAGGCAAAAGTAGAAGCCTTCCTTTTCGCACTAGGGCTGAACTCTGCTGGGAGAAAGGTGGCTTCAGCAACCACAGGATGCAAAGGGTTAGCAGAAGAACTGGAATTCTGCCAACAAATCTGCGCGACGTAGGCAACTTCTGGACTTTCTCAGACATCTAGATAGAAATATCCCAAAGCAGCCACTCTGCCAGAGGTTGAAGATTTGTCACCCAGGTTTTCATGTTAATACACATAGAGAAAAATGAAACTCTGGTGCTGTTGACCTTCCTTAATGGTGGATCTTCGGAGTTAAAATCTTAATACATTATACAGTGCATCAAGATGCAGAAATATGTCCCTGTGCACAGAAAAAAAGTAGCCTACCCTTTATCTCAACCCAGCTACATATCTGCTTCTGGCTTGTTGTCTGTCCTGATGTGAAATAGTTTCAGCTACGTTTTCTCTGCACCGGTGGTTAAGGGCTAAGACCTAAGGATAAGGAAATGGGTGTGAGCTATAGAAGTTGTGGGTTTTGCTGCTGCTGCTTCTGAATCCTGCCTTGGGTGCAACGCCTTTTCTTTGCTCCCGGAGAATCTGGAGACTTTCTTGCTTTCTGTGGTGTGTATTTTTAGGTTCAAAGTTATTTAGGGACTGGGAAGGAGGTTATTTCGAGGACAAAGGCTGATGGAAAAAGCAAAATCCCCCAAAACCTGAGCTAATGCAGCCTTCTCCTCCAGTCACATGGAGTTGTGGAGAACTTAAATACCAAGGCA